TTCGCGTGATAGAACAATGTAAAAATGATAAACGTGTAAAATATGGACAAAAATTTGCTGGCGTCTTTCAACATGCATGTGTGCTTGTGGCAATGGGCGGAGCGGGCAGAGCACGCTATCCTGGATTAATATCTGTATACCCAATAATTGATAGAGCCAAAAATGAAAATAAATAAATAACAACAAATATTTAGCCAATATACCAAATCGGAATTGGTATCATTAATTGGATCTGAGATCGAGGCTTGTGATCCCATTCTACAGATTAAATTATGATTTGGCTAAGTAATTAGTATGCTTGAGTGGCCTGATTTAATAGGTGTTTCAGGCGCCAGTGGATTGGACTGTAATTAGTCGTCAGATGTTGCCAAAGAGTGGTGAATTCATGCCAAAGACTTGCATGCATAATCTGAGAATACGTTGAACATTTTAAAACACTTGCAGGTGCTCTAACGCCCTTGTAAAGGGTATGTATACAGCCATATATTCCTGCTCATCTCATCTGTCCGATTTTTATTTTGCTTATATGAGGAAACCTACACAGACGCATTAAATTCCGGTCGAAAGATAAGTTCTTGTATAACAATAATAGAGTAAATAAAATGCATACTCATATGCTCCTCCCGTTTTGACAAATCATCTTCGAAATCGGATTTCTATATCGTATAGCTTCCATTGATATAGATATAGATATTCTATATTCATCCAAGATATTCCATTCAAACTCAACATTTTATTACACCTAACATTTTCACATAAAACCATCAGTATCGGAATACTATATCATATAGCTTTCATGGGAATAATCGGTCGGTTTTTCAATTTATAGTGAAACTTAGAAGACAGTAATTTGACTCCGTCTGTAATCTTCTACGGGTCTAAGATAGCCATTATTTCTTTTAATTTTGATTTCATTTATTTAATGCTGACTATTATTATTCGACAAACATTTTTGAATTTTTTCCAATTCGTCAATAATTAATTAAGAATATTGAAATATATGACGCGCATTAAAATTATTAACTAATCAATCAATAAGTAATCATTTATGTTCTAGATCAATCTAATTTTCATTTAGATGCAAGTTGATCTCTGCATAAATTGAATTATTAAAATAACTTATATGTTTTTTTCTCGAACCAAGCCTAAGAAATGAGGTTCGTTCCCAACTGTTTTTGACATTGTCTACAAATCTAGCGCTTTTCGTGCTGTCTCTCGTTGAATTTTCTGCTGCAGGCACATAATAAAAAGAAATCCAACTAAGTGACAGCCAATGGAAAGTAACTTCCGAAACGCGGCCAGAACAATGGGTCATAGATCAAGTTTTAATGTGGACTCCAACATCGTTTGTGCCGTACAATGAACTTTCAATACAAGTTGCTAACTGTTCCCAAAAAAACAAAAAACCAGGGTACAAAAAAAAAAAAACGTCGCCAGTGCTTTGCACATTTTCCACCATATATAATTTTGTTGCTGTTGTTTTTTGTAAGTTTTCAGGAAGCGTTACCCAATTTTTGATCTACACATTTCCATATGGTGTCCAATTCCCAAATAATACCTTAGCTGTCGTTGCTTACATAAATACATGCACACACATACGTGGATTGTATATATGTTTGCCTGTCTGTATATACATTTTTTTTTTTTAATAATTTCTTATTGTGGCCGCTGCTTTTATGACGACGTCGACGGCGCGTCTTTTGATTGGTTCAACTTGTGAGTCTTTTTCTTTTTTGTGTTTTTTTAACGAGCTCTGATTTTGTGTTGTTGTTGCTGCTGTTGCTGTTGCCGCGTTTATCGCCATTGCGATCAGCGAGTGGGGCAGAGTCAGAGCCGTCAGTTGGCTATAATAATTTTTTTATGGCTTCTATATAATAATTCACCTATACGTTGACGCGACGCAATTAGCTTGCCTAGTTTCCATAGATTCATAGAAGAGCCAGCCAACTTCAGTGCGTGGTCACAGAGACACCACAACAAACCAAACCAACTCAGCAAGAAAAGCAGCAACAACGCTGAGAACAACGTGACAGCGATGCTTAGCGCAAGATTAGCTCAAGCATTCGAATTTCCAGAGCCTCGTATATCATGTGGAAGGGTTGGGTTGGGTGGTTGGGGACGGGAAACAGCCAGGAGTCCAAAGATGGCGAAACATCACATCACAGGGCAAAAAAAATAAAAATAAATAGAAAAAAATGCATAATTCCCAAAGGATGTGAGCATCTGATCTGTCAGCTCGATAGTCTGCCACGCAACTAATGAAGATCTTCTCTGGCCTGGGAAAGTTACCTCGCACCACACAAGAACCTGCATATCATGAATGCCCACTTGGCCGAAGTAATGCCCCTGCTATTGCAGCTGCTGCTATGACTTTATTCGCTAGACCGCGATCAACATTTACATTTGAAGCGTTCGATCGATGGATGGTTCGATTGAGGCGACGGTGCGGTGACCCACCCTCCACATAACTTCCTAATTACATGACACGACCGCAGTCGCAGTCGCAGTCGCCGTCGCCGTCGCCGTCGCCGTCGCCGACGCAGGTCAGGAACTGCCGGCAATCGCACCTGTAGCTGGAGAGCGCGCGCGCCACTGCCTGGCAGCGGGGGAGGGGTTCAGGTTGCGTGGAGAGGGGGTAACCAATGTTGTGTTCTGGCTGTGGCGGCTACGCTGGCATTTTAATTGAAATTGAAATTTTGTTGTTTTTGTTTTGTTTTTGTTTTTTTTTTTTTTTTGGCATTTGTTGCGCTTGATTGATTTAGATCGAGGCGCTGAAGACCCGCAGCAAATGTGCCCCTAACAACCTACCACCACAGAACGGTGCATTGCGCCAGCCTGTACACCTGCCTGCCTATCTGCCTGCCCGCTGGCTGACTCCTGCTAGAGCTGAACTGACAGTCAGCGTAATGAAATTCCAAGCGACGTGCGGCATGCAATGCAATGCGAACCTCACCCTTCAAACTGGCCATGACCCTCGCCCTCACATGCTACTTGCTACTTGCTACTTGCTACTTGTTGTATGGCAATAGTAGTTCCCATTTCCCATTTACCCAGTTCCCTGTTGCCGCTCGCTACGATCTTGTCCGTTGATCTTTTTGGTGCATTGGCTAAGTTAATTGGTTGTAAAACAATTTTTCGAATTAACATAAAAATGTTTCATTGGAAAAAATATTGCAGACACAATTAACATTTTACTCGCTGCGAGTGCGACTCCGACTCCGATATGCGGGCAGTCGGGCAGAGAGGTGCTTCGGATTGAAGCCCAGAGAGAGAGAAAGAGAGAGAGAGAGGGCGAGAGAGAGAGAGAGAGAGGGAGAGGGAGATGGAGAGGGAGAGTTAGAGAGAAACGGGTCGCGAGTGAAAAAGCGAGTCTGAGTTCAGTACTTGGTTCGATTAGCTATAGCAATAGTGTGCAACAAGTTCGATACAAAACATAACAAATATATAGAAACTCGCAACATATTACATATATTCTCGTTATCGTTATCGAAAAGTACTCAGTTCGATTGGTTGCTTGTATGCATCGCGCAAGACACTAGTGATTATGTTCTGAGATACGTCAAATCTATTATTTGTTCGATACTGAAATCGTTATCGTAATCGGCATTGTAAGTATCAAGTTCAGGAGGTAGGTATCTAGGTTTCAGCTTTCCTTAGTAACACTAAATTGGATTATTATAAGTGAATGCATTTTTTCATTTACAAGCTTTATAATATGTATAGATATTGTCCTCATATGGCACAGGTGATTCTAAAACTGAACCCCTCAATTTGAAATGATTGAGATTATTTATTAAGATTATAGGAATTATATGAATCGTAGCTCGAAACGAATTGAAAGTACAAAGCATAAAGAACCTTAATTCGATAGATTGTCATTGTCATCGTCACCGAGTTCATCACATTGCTAATGTGTGATATGCAATGTACCGCAACTGACAGCTACAAAACAAGAAAACCGACACCAACAAAATATAAATAAAAAAAAGAGGAGAAAAAAACTCAACCAGCCGGACAATTGAATTGTTTTGGTTGCATCTACCCACACCCGCAACACCCGCAAGACCATTCAACTGTACACTGTCCGTGGTTGTCCGCAGTCAGTTGTTGGCAACCCACGACCCGCGACCCGCGACCCGTTCCCCGCGACCAAGCGCGAATGCAAATTGAATGAAATGCTAATGGAAATGAGTGCGAGTATGAGTACATTGAATGCAGGCTGCGCACAGACGCACGACCCGCGCAAATAAAGACAATGAAGGCAACTTTTATTGGTTCCATTCGATGATCAGAGTTGAGCTGAGCTGAGCTGAACTGAACTGAACTGAACTGAGGGCCGACCACCGCGCGTCCGGTTGGGTCGCCAGTCGATTGTCTGTCTGTTTGCGGCGTACTTAGTGACACCATTAACGCCACTTCAACGTGGCCCTGATCGGTTGCCCTACCAGCTACCAGACAAACACATTCACATCCGGCGTGCGCTTGCGCAGATGTCGACAGACCTGGGTCGGGTCCCTGCTCGGGCTCAGTTTGATTGATTCTGTTTTCAATGTAGCGCCTTTCTCTTGCCACGGTGCGTTTTATTGTTGGCCGCTTGAAATTTTTATTGCAATCGGTGTGAAATTTCACACCGCAATGCTTAAATGATTCCCAACAACCTTTCAGCCTTTCAAGCCATTGCGTTTTTGGCTCGCGAACGAAGCGCGAAGCGTTGCAAAGCAACGAAAGAAAGAGAGAAAAAAAAAAAAAACTAAAAAGTTCGCCAAATGCAACTTTAAATAACTTTGATTATTGGATTATTATAGTTTCATTTAAGATATTAACTTATGGCACGAATCTGCAACGGTTCTCGGACTGACACAAGTAATCCAAGATTATATCTCACAGCAACAGTTCCAACAAATTTCATATATAACAAAATCAATTTATGTAATTCGTAGATCGTATATAATGGTATATGGTATATATGATTAGGTTTGAGTTGAACATCAATAATAAATGCTTATTGTGATTTTTAACAGTTTATTTAATACCAGAAATTTTAAGACGGCCAAATGAGTCTCTTCCCAAAACAAAGAACGTTCTCAAACCAAAATTAATTTCGACTAACTATCGCCAGAGCACGTTGCACTTGTTGCGTGGACTGCGTGTTCCCTCATTGTGCAGAAAGGCCAGGGCTAGGTTGCGTTTGGCTGGCGATAGGCCTGTCCGTGAGGTGTTCTTCAGGGCCCCAATGCTGCCCAAGCTGGTGTCCACTTGGACACTGCGCCTGCAACGTTTCTTACTTGGCTTGCAGATGGTGGCATTGGTGGACACAACTGCCGGTAATGGTAAATAACGTCGATGCATCGCTGGCAGGGCCAGTTGCTTGAGGCGAGCGCTGATACTGTAGGGGCGACTGCTGTGCCTCGCCCGCTCAATGTGGACGCACTCCTTGGGTCGGTAGGTGCGCATGTTGCGCGCCTCGAAGCGCTCCAAATCGTCAATGGCCTCCTCCCGCTCCAGATGCTTGGCCAGACGCGTTATTGAACGCTTATTTCGATTGATTCGCTTGATGCTATTCAACGACTTTGTCGGCCTATTCCCGCCAGCTGGCAACAATTTGTTCTTCGACTTGGCATTCCTAGCGCGATTAGGCTGATAGCTGGTGCCAGCACCGTTTTGAGACTGATATGGATTACGTAAGGGCTTCATGTCGACTGGCTTGGGCTTGGACTTGGGCCTGGCCCAAATGGCACCAGCAGAGAGTCGCTTCGAATGCTTCTTATCCTTCTTTGGCAAGGACTGCTGTGGGGCATTGCCGCCGCTTTTGTTGCTCATCATTTTGGGCAGTGTACTGCTGCCTTGCTTTTGCTTCTTCATGATGCCAGTCTTTTTGGTTGTGGGACCAGCTTTGACTGGTGACATCATTGTCCGGCTGCGTTGATTGTTTCTTGACTTGGGCGTCATACAAAATACTGACGTCTTTGCTCGCATTGCGTCGCCCGCGGGCTGCCGAATCCGATGGATTTTCGGTTGCTTCACAACTGGTGCCCTGGTTTCCGCCTTCGCAAAGGACTTCTTTTTGGCGAGAGGCTTGGGTTTGCTTTCGCTCCGAACCTTCGCCAGAGATCTGGGCCCAAGTTTAGTTTGTGCTGTTTGCGCCTGGCTTTTGTTTTTCCTGTATTGCATAGATGGGGCCGGCAGACGCTTGGGTTTGATCCGTCGCTTGCATTTGGTTGAGATGATTCGACTGTTCGGAGCAGACTGTTCGCCACACATATTTGGTGTGGGACGGGTGCGTGTTTGCCGATGAAGCTTGTCAATGATGACGCCAGTGAGGCTTCTCTGCGGCTGCGCCTGCACTGCCAGTCTGCATGTCAGGGAGCGGGAACGGGAACCAGACGGATTCTGAGCTTCCTTCCTGGAGCGAATTCGTTTCTGACTAAGCATCTCGTCGAATGCCTCCTTCGATTGAGTGATCTGTTGGGTCAAATCAATACGGTCCGGCTTCACATAGAACATGTGCCCATGATAATCACCCATATAATCCCGGCCATGGCATTCCGATATGACACGGGCCACCACGCGCTTCATTTCCGTCCGACTGAGATTCAGTTGATTAGACAGGTTCTTCGCCAGGGCCTTTAGGGCCCCGCCAGTGCCAGCCATTTGGCTTGAGCTCCATATATTGATGTTCATTTTCGGAGAACTTGAGAATTTGTCTATTTGGTTTGGGCGTTCTATTCAAACTCACAAATGAAATTTGCTAGCAATTCCAAAATCGCTTGATGCAACTATTAATTTTTATTTCTTTAAATTTGTGTATTTCCTTTAAAATTCCTTAAATTAAAACATCAACAATTGCTAGTCAACTAGTCGCCTGCTTGTTCATAGTTAACTGAAACCTAACTGAGAGCAATAAGAGCAACAAATATACAAAATATCAATTAAATATTAGTGGGTATCTATGTACGCAATTATCCATTTAAACATAAGTATTCAAAGAAGTAATACTCAAGTGGAATACATGTTTAAGAGCCATAGACTCAATACTTTGTTTTTGTTATATTTATTCATTATTTATTTATTATTATAAAAAAAAATAGTTTATTAGCAAATGTAATTCTTTTTTATATGATGGTTAATATGTTTCAAAGCGACATAATCTTAAGTATCTATTTAATATGATGATAAAATGATAATTATTATTATAAAGAAGAGCGCAAGCATTCCTCAAAACACGTTCAGACTATTAGAAAATAGCTGAAGAGTGCACAGGGCGATGGAAAGTTAAAAGTCAATAGTTGTTAAAGTAAAACACAGTCCTCCCTTCCTTTGGTGCTCAGCTGCCTGAGCTGTTGCAGCTGCGCAGTAGCCACGTGCGTCTTGACCTCGGTGTCTTATCAATGAGCGCATTCATGCAATGAACCGTTGGCTGGGCAGCCGCCTGATCTTGGCCAAACGAATAAAGGACCAAGATAGGGACAGCAAAGAGAACTACTTACAAACGAGGCTAAAACAGACAACAAACGAATACAAAAACAACACACGAAATAGTCATATGAAATTAAAGTTATAAATGATTTCATTATAGCAATGTGAGGGTCATCATCATCAGCAGTCTGGGTCCGAGTTTGACTCTGAGTTTGAGTCTGGGTCAGGGGTCTCCATGTCTGTGTGTATGTGTATGTGTCTGTGTTGCACTTGTTCATGCACCTGCGCAGCCTGCAGCACTTTGGACAGGTGAGGGCACACACACACACACACAGAGCACGCTTGCCATAAGGGGTGGGAAAAATGATTTACGCAATGAGCGGGACACAGTTCCTACCCTTGCCTAGTTCCTCTGATGAGTCAAAGTGGCACCCTTTAGCCAGGCTAAATGTGTAACTATGTGTATATGTGTGTGTGTGTGTGTGTGTGTAAGTTGAGCTGTCTGCCTATGCATGAGGAAGAGCAACAACCCATGCCAATTTCATGCCGCCATTCGATAGTATATCATACGAGAGACTCTTTTGGGCCACTTAACTGTAATTAGGGCTTTTCAATATTATTAATGATGATGGTCGTTTGCAAAGCCGCTGAAAATGTGGGAAATGCATTGCGAATTGATGACGACCCCGACGGCGCTGCAGACAACCGACAACCGACAACGGACAACGGACAATGGACAACGCAATGAATATAAAATGCTAAATGCAAAATGTAAACACGCAAACCGAAAGCGCAACAATTTTCGAACTACAATTTTTGTGCAGCGCTGCGCTCTATTTGACTTTTGTTGTTGTTGCCAGTGGTGGTGGTGATGGTGATGGTGGTGGTGGTGGTGGTTTGTGGTCAACCATCCAACCATCCAACCATACGTTTTTAGCGTTATCAGTGCAAAATAATCTTTCAATCAGCCCTATACAACAACGTCGTCATCATCCTCACATTTGTTGCTGCCGTCGTTCAACGAAGCGTGACCGCAATTGTTGCAGCAGCAACAGCAACATCAGCAACATCAACAACAGCAACAACAAGAACAGCAACAGCAGCAGCAGCATTGCTGGCAGGATGAGTAGCAATATATATACCACCTAACTACATATGATAATTCAGAGCAGCAGAGCAACAACAACAACAACAAGTATAATAACAATAGAACCTTTGACTGGTCAATTGGCTTCATATTTCTGTTGTTGTATTTCGCTGATCGTCAGCTGGCCGCCTGAATGTGTCCAATGATTACCCAGGAAATTACCTAGATGCAAATACAACCTTTTAAATAAATGTTATTATTTTTTCATATAAATGTTGCATTCAAATATAAGTTGCAATTGGTATTTGAAAAATATTTACAAACAAATACTGAAGGATTGCTTGGCATTTTATTCAAGCTAATCAGCATTAAAGAGCAGCCTAAAAGATATTTGCAAGTATTTAATATGTATTCGCTTGGAAATCAGTTTCAATTTCTGCAAATATCTCCAAATTGCTATTTAAGTAGACTATAAACCTGTCAAATACTTGAGCTAAGTTTCATTATGTGCAATATTACAATTGTTTGAGTCGCTCTCTCTCTCTCTCTCTCTCTCTCCATTCGAATTTAAATATGAGCACGGCATGTTGCTAACTTTAAGCTCGGCAATGTTGTCAATGCCAATATTCCTTACTTTTTCCCGTCATCGTTCTCCACAGTCCTGATTCCTGTGGCAAACAATTTTTTCATGCATGCAAAAAACACAGCGTTAAATTCCATGGGGAGTCAAAAGTCAGGCAGTCGATGGTTCAAAAAAAAAAAAGAAGAAAAAAAGAACGAAACGAAACGAAAACCGAACCAAACAAGTGGAAAGCACATGAAAAAAGAAAATAATAATAAAGAAACAGAAACAGAAACAGAAACAACCTTATAATTTAACTCGGTAAACTTTTGCGCCTTTTGTTTGGCTGCTTTCACTACAAGTTATTGAAAATCGCGCAAGGGTTGCCAGCCCGCCAGTCGAAAGGGTTTCAAAAATTGAAAAAGAATGCGGGCGCGTGTCAGGTGGCCACCCGCTAAAGGGTGAAAGGGGAGTGTAAGAATGGGTGGTGTGGCGGTTGATGGCGTCTCATTTGTGCAAGGGGGAGGTGGGTGATTTAGTGTTAAATAAAAACTTTTAAATTGCCATTTGATCGTTTGTTTAGCGACAATAATGTCGTCGTTGTCGTTGACATTGTTGTTGTTGTTGTCGTTGCTGCTGTTGCTGCTGTTGTTGTTATTGTTGTTGTTGTCGTTGTCATCGCTGCTGCTCCTGGGCCATGGGAACAACCGTGAGCCGACCCAGGGGCCGTCGCATGCCTTCAATTTCAGTGCGGGCCGCAGCCAGTGACAGGTTTATAGGTCGCTCAGTTTGCCTGCAAGTCAGCAGCGCCGTGACAATGACATTGTTTCGCCTGACAGTTGTAGCAAATTTATTGAAAAGGTGTTCCTTCGTTTTCGCTGTATGTGTGTGTGTCTACAGAAATTGTCAAAAATTTATTGATATGTTGAAATTACTTCTCGGCCTGCTCCCCCATAAGAACACTGACAGCTCAATTTTTTTCATCGAGTATTTTTATTGTGTTCCATTTTTTATTTATATATATATATATATATTTTATTTTTTTTTGTTCATCTCACTTCCTTTGGCTGCTTTCAACGGCCGGGCTCATTGTAGTAAATTTGACAGCGATTGTTTTGTTTGACAGTTTGTCGTCTCGGCAAAATGATGATGTCAATATGCAAAGCAGTCAAAGCCAGTCACAGACGAGGCATGGCCCAGAGAGCGTGGCCAGTAAATTTACATTCGGTATGTGGAACGCACAAAGGGGTGAGCAATTTCAGATGAGTTATTGAACCGTTGCTTCCACTTGGCAGCTGACAGTCTAGCTTTGATATGTTTATGCCAGAGAGTTGGTCCACAAAGGATTTCGAGATTATCAATATGAATTTCATGTGGCATTTCAATTCGAATCTACTACTAAAATCGTTTGTGATATGCAATGAAAATATATATTTCTGATTGTCTTTTTATTAATAACATTTAATAAGTAAGCATACATTTACGATGTGTACATATAGTGCCATAAATTTGATCTTCCACCCACAGCGCACATTCTCCAAAGAACTGAACAATATTCCAAGCAATCCAAGTCTCTCAAATAGAGTTTACACATCGCCAATCGAGCTGCTCCGCTGTTGTCTTGGGCTGCAAGGTAGACAATTTATCCAATGGCAGCTAAGCTGATCATGCAATACCATCCACATGCAATCCACGGCGCAATTTGCCATTGAACTTTGCTGGTAGTCGTAAGTCTAATTTGCTTTGAGATCTGGGCCCAGGCCTAACGACAACGCAATAACAGCCACCATTTTTGTTAATTTTTATGTATGTATGTGCTGAGCTTTGATTGTTATCCGCAAATACAAGCATACACACACACACACATATATATATTTATATATATATATAGTGTTAGAGGCAGGGGCTGAGCCACAGCGATATTTTTTATGAGACTGTTTCGTTTTTCGCTTAATCGCACTAGAAAATCTCTAGAAATGGTAGAAGGAAGCAGAAAAAGAAAAAAAAAATAAAAAAAATAAAAACAACAAAAAATTGCCGAGCGTTCAACTTGAAAATATGCCAAAAGACAATTGGTCGTCGGTTGTTGGTTGTCGGTTGTCGGTTGTCGGTCGCAACGTTAAGGGCATGGCCTAGGCCCAGACCCAGGCCCAGGCCCAGGCCCAGGCCGAGGTCTATTCACTGTCTCAGTCTGGGACGCCGAGTCTTAGTTCTAGTTCCAGTTCGAGTCGCAGTCGCAAGAGTCTTTAAGATTTCTTCAATGTTTAGCGAAGCGTGAATATTATTTGAGAGTGGAGGCTCAGACGAAAGCCAAAAGCAGCAGCATTTATTAATAATTACCACACAGCACTGAGTTAAAGCCGAGAGGCACATAGAAAGAGTGGAAGTGGACGAGGAAGAGCTGAAGTTGGTCTACAAGTGGAGAAGTAGGGAAGTAGGGAAGTGAAGAAGTGGGCTTAGCGTACATACTCGTAGTAAGAAATTTATTTGTTATTTATCTTTTTGGTATTATGCATGAATAACAATAAAAATATAAGTGAATGTTGATGTTGCTGTTGCTGTTGCTGTTGTTGCTGTTGTTGTTGTTGCTGTTGTTGCTGACATAAATAGTTAGCCAGAAATGCGGCAGCAAAAAGCGTCATAAAAATTATAGCCATTCGCTTGTTGCCAGGTTCTCAGGTGGAGGCCAGCACCAGTTTCGACTACAGCT